ATTTGACACCATATTTTGCGCTCAGGTTATTATTTTTTTAACATACAAAAAAAAAGAAATTTAATATCATGGAGAATTCCGGTGGGAATGAGCGGAATGCTTTTTCAAATGCTTACCTTGTTTCAGAACAAAATACGTCAATTCCATACTTGATTTTCAGGCAAAAACTAAATTTTAACCCTTTTGTTCATCTAGAAATCTTTGAAACAGGGTAGCTGATCTCAGCTTAAACTCAATAATAACGATAATAATAATAATAATAATAATAATAATAATAATAATAATATTAAGAGTACTAATAATTCTAATGATAAATTTAGAAAAGTATTGGAAAACTACTCTGAATGCTCCTTAAAGTTATTGACTCAATTCAGACCAAATTAGGTGACTTTCCTTCCGATTTCAAACGATATTTTAACCTGTCAGTATTCTGCGCAACAGGCGTCGAAACGGGTAGGGGATAGGGAACTGCCAGCTAAAACACTGCTACTATTCTATTCGCATCCTGATGTGGTGTACGTCAATGGGAAGAAACATATATTACCCCGCTCCAAACATACGTATTTCGTAGGTAGTTGCGCGGTCTAATATTATATTCTCCGCGGGCTCCTCCTCCACAGCTTCCCACTAGCAAATACATCACCGATAAATAAAAATTATCATGTTTGTGTTATTGCATCATACTAAAAAACCAGAACATCACAAAATCGACGTAAAACTCAAAATTTTGTTGCCGAACTGTAAAACTGATATCACGTGCAACACTGAAAGCAAAAAGAAAATATCATCATATCATAATTATCCTTCAAGGAAAAAGACACGACAGCTGCATTTTGATTGGCTGACGTATTTGCTAGGTATAAGCTCATACATAATGAGTACAGAAAGGGCAGCCTTTTATGCCGATAAAGACAGATAAAGTTCATCACAAGTATGTTTTTATATTTGTTAAAGATAAGGAGAAGTTTGAGCGAAAGCCCTTCTCTCATTATTTGTCTTAGTTTATAACTCTAGAGCACGCCTTCTTATTTTGATACTTTTCCCTTGCGCAAATAACTGTGTCCTACCGGTCAAAACCTTTCTACTCTAAACGTTTAGGCCCTCAAACTTCGTATTTGGCGCCAGAAAATAGCTGGTTCGTTCTCGGCTACAGCGACCGTATTGCAGGGTTTTCGGGGCTTTAACGTTTCAAGGCAAGATTGTTGTGAAGATCAATCAAAATATTGGGTAGTATTGAACCAAGAAATTGCATGTTTTAATCGAAACGTGGACGCAGGTTTCGCTTTCTTCAAATTATTTACACAATGTCTATTTTCTATGAATTTAGAATCACACTGATTCAAAGCCTAAAAGCTCATTTGAATTTGAAAAAGGAAGACATAGTACGAATTAATTAGTTATTTTAAACAATTTTAAACACTCGAAAATAATCGAAAAACCATTACTGGAAGAATCAACAGATATAAATTTTGCGTTTTGTCAGGTCAAAAAGCACTCCTCGCCCCGTGTTTTAATAAATACAGCTACTTCCAGTGGGGGTGGGATCTTTGACCCAGAAACGATGTTCTCACAACTTACAAAGCGGTCACCTTGCTTTGTGGTCAGCGGATAATGGCAATATTTAGTACCCAAAGTGAATATTTTAGAAGCGAGATGCGAGCCGGCAGAGGAAATAAGTCAATAATTGAAAAAATAATATCATGGGTTTTTGTTTTTCTCGCATATCGTATTTGTCCTTTAGTACTATACTGAAATTGCAAAACACAAGCGACAGTCAGCAAAGCGCGCTAGACTATCGATAGAGTTTTTGGTTACATCGTTTTTGCCGGGCGAGGACCGGACATGGAGATTACCGAAGTTATGATGCTAATAAAGACTCCTGGATCTGAAAGCGTCACTGAAATTTATCGAAAGTAAGTCTATTTAAGGGAGCTTTATATCATCGTTGAGCTTCATACATCCTGAATAAACAGATTCACACTTAATAACAGCAGTACAGCGATAACATTTCACTTTGTTTTAAATTTATTACGACCAGTCAACACCTTGTATTCAGACTTAAAATTCAAAACGATCATAATAACAAATTTGTTAACTTTCCTTAGGTTTGCATCAAAACAATACCGGCCTCCACTGCTTCGGCGGTTCTTATCCGTCAGCTATAAGCAGCTATATGTTGTATATTCCAAACTCTGCAGAGGAAATTGTGTAAAAAAAAAAGCAAATCACACACTATGTCTGGAAAGCCTTCGACCGCCATGTTTTTGGTCCTTCTCAAAACCGTTAATCTTTGGTTTATTACGTGATGCGCATGATCAGTACACAAATCCGCTGGCAAGACCCTTGATGACCGCTTCGGCAAGTTGTGAGAACATCGTTTGGATTTCATTTAAGAGAATGTATGGGAAGTAGCTTACCCCCGCACCCTCCTGGCTACTTCAATAGGCCATTTCTGAGTTGCTCCAAGCCCCTGTTTCAAAGCGAAGCCTAGTGTAAGACCATTGACATGAAAATGATTTTTAATTCTCATGCAGATAAAACTCGTTTTCACAAGAAAGGTTTTCACCTAGCCTCGATTTGAAAGTGAGAGTTTCCGGAACTCGGAAATGGCCTAAAGTTGTCGAATTCTAAGGCCTCAATTCTACGCGACGAGACCTCAAGAGCATGTGGGAGCTGTAAATCCTTTGTAATTCGGTCATAACTTGGCGACTGTAAGTGCCTTAGAATGGTAGAAAACGTCAATAACTTTTACCTTGCAACTGAGGGGCTGCTTCATGGCTAAACTTGGTTATTATTATTATTTTTTGGAAATGACCCATATTGCGGTGCGGTCTCGTCCCGGGATGTAGAGAAGAAATTGCTGGTAGAAGACAAAATAACAGCTTCTTTCAAAGAANAAGGCCTCAATTCTACGCGACGAGACCTCAAGAGCATGTGGGAGCTGTAAATCCTTTGTAATTCGGTCATAACTTGGCGACTGTAAGTGCCTTAGAATGGTAGAAAACGTCAATAACTTTTACCTTGCAACTGAGGGGCTGCTTCATGGCTAAACTTGGTTATTATTATTATTTTTTGGAAATGAGCCATATTGCGGTGCGGTCTCGTCCCGGGATGTTAGAGAAGAAATTGCTGGTAGAAGACAAAATAACAGCTTCTTTCAAAGAAATATGTTTCCTGAGCGTCATATGTAAAGTTTCGGATAGAAAAACATTGTCTAATGACCCAGTCAAATAAATATGAAGTACTTTTGAACCAATACCTGCGTTCAATCCTGGACGTAAGTGTGTTTTGAATTTTATAAAAACTACCGCTCGTTTCTATCAACAAAATGATATGAAACTAGTCGTGGTGGATGTAGGAAAGGCTTTGGTATTTTTTTTTTCGCCAAGATTTTATTTGCGGTTTCTTGAGTACCCTGAGGTGGAAGCAACTGACAAGAGAACGTACGAAAACCGACCTTTAATTGTTACCATTTAATTATAATATAAAATAGGAAATAATAAAACACTTCATTTGTCGCTCGATAAAACTGAATACTACTTTTAAGAGATATTAAGTAACTTTACATAATATAACTATTAAAACGGAATGTTTAGCTTGAAGTCTCCGAAACATAAACTTTTTAATTTATACAAGAGGCATCATTGTCGCCCAGTGACGCTGAGAGGGATTTCTTGAGCCTGTAATCGCTGCAACATAAAAATAAGCGTTTTTATAGTTTAATAGTTTGGTGAGAAGCAAAGTATTCACACCAGCCACAAAGAAAAAAAAGAACCAACAACGGAAATAGATGTCATAGGTCAAAATTATATTCAGGTTAAAATTTCTTTAACCTAGGTTGATTCTCTATTTCCTTTGTCTTTCTAGCCCTCAGTCAAGAATAATTAGGGCTAGGAGACAAAGGAACTTGATAATCAACCTGGGTCAAGTCAAAGTTAACATGAAATCAAATTTGACCTGCAACATAGACCCCTTTATGATTTCCAATCGAACTCTCCGGATACCCTGAATGGAAAGCGCCCACTGTCTGCTTTTACTGCATGATAGTCTTAGCTCTTTTTACACTCGTTTGTTCCTAGTAGCTCATTCTACTGCGTTGTCTTTGTCAAACTAAAGTAAAAAAATATCGCTCTGTAACAACCTCCAAAAGCTGTCGGCTGCCAAAAGTTTGATCTTGAAGCACATTGTAACATTCGGTCTAACCGCCAAAATGATACAACATTTTTATATATTTTAGTTTTATTTTATATTAATATATGTGTTGGTGTAGTAATGTTTAACTATACGGTTGCTCTTTAAAGTTATTATAACCACGTTTACAGGGTTTTTCCTTTGAGAAATTGGGAGCGGCGCCCCTTCTCATATCTGACAGAAAAGCTTTGGGAGTAGGGTTGGAATTTTCAGATCCCTTGGCTTGGGGAGGGAGGCCCTCATGCAAGCGTGAATTCGAAGGTCGAGACGCCGTCGCCGATTTCTGCAGTTCCTGAACTAGATGGTGGTAATAATATATTAGTATAAAAACGGTACATTGAAGTATACCGGGTTATATTGGAATCATCATTTCTTTCCGGTTTTTAAAAGCGCCCGTTGTAATTAATATAATTTATCAACATTCGCATACTTCTTATACGGCTGAAGTATACAGCAAATTTGAGGCATTCGAAATTGGTGAGATCTTCAGCGTTTAAAGCTAAAAAAAATTCGATTCTCGCGGTTCATCATTTTTAGCTTTTTAGGTGAAGAACCTAGTAAGTTCTTTCTGGTTATGATCCGAACCACATCTTATTTTCCTCAATTCCAACCCAACGATAAGCCCTTGCCTCTGACCCGTAAGCTGTTATTCTGGATTGCCAACTAAGACACAAGTGTTCCTAGATACAATGGAAATAAAACTGGGCCTATTTAGTTTGGGGAACGACAAACTTTATAGACAAATCTTACTCCCTTGACCTTTATCAATGAAGTATAAACAAACGAATGGAATGATGTTAAGAATATTGCTAACTTACCTCAGGAACTTCAATCTTGTCCTGTGCGTTTCTTAGCAAAGCCTTAAGACCATGTATCTCTTTTCTCTTTAATCGGACGTTGTCCAGAACATTATTTAACCGCTCAGAATGCTCCTGGTCATTTTGAACAATTTGCTTCTGTAACGTTTCTACTCGTTCTTTCAGGGCCTTGTTTTTCTTTGTCATAGTCGTGCTTTCTTTCCTGTTGCTCTCCAGCTCAATGTGCATTGTATTCATATTTGCCAACACTTGCTGCATTCTGTCGGCCATTGCACTGGTTGTTTGTTTACTGGCCAACTGAACCATCTCCACTTCACTGGAGTTGCAATCTTTATTGACAGGCATTCTTAAAACTTCTCGCTCTCGTTTGTTTTCACTTCTTGCAAACTCGTTCATTTTTGTTTGCAGTGAATACTTTAATTCTTTAATCTCCTTCTGCCTTTGACACAATCGAGTTTCTATCTCGTCAACTTTGTGGTCCAATGAAATTTTCTCATGTCCCAACATGGATTCGCTTTCAGTTGTATTTTGTTTGTAGACTTCAAATGTTTCACCCAAGTGACCCAATCGACCCTCGACAATGTAAACCTCCTCTTCCTTTACTTGAATTCCAACATTTGCAGTCGACATTTCTTCAAACTTTTCAATAAACACTTTCTTTTCCGTCAATTCTCGCTGCAGCCTCTCAACCACTCCTTCCAAATAGTAAATTTTCCTTTCTTTGTCATCGCATACTTTACGCTCAAAAACATGTCTCAGATCTTCCAGTTCCTTCACTGTCTTCCCAGTTGCTTTCATGTGTTCTATGAGGCCAGGATAAGCACCAAGCGCTTTGCATTTGTCGATCTTCATATATTCCAATTCTTCCCGGAGACATCGTATCTCTGCCATTTTTGTCTGAAGATCTTCTTTCAAACTCTTTCGTTCATGCTCTTTTTCAGTAATTTCTTGCTTCATGAAGTTGATGGCTCGCTCACTTTCTTGCACAAGGAACTTAAGCTTTTCACTCTCCTTGTTTAACGACGTCAACTCTGAATCTCTTTTGAAAGCCAAATGTTTCAGTGATTTCATCTCGTCATCTTTTTTTGAGAGTATAGCAGTAAACTGCTTTAATTTATTTTGCAGAACGTCGTTCTCCTCTTCTAATTTTTTGATTTTCCCATTTGAAACACCCAGTTCTTCTTCTTCCTTCTTAAAGTATTCAATTAGCCTTTTGAGTTCGATGTCTTTCTCTTTTAATGAATAAGTGGCGCGATCTAAATCTTCCTTGAGCTGCGTCACATCAGATTGTAACTTCTCAATGGCCCTGTCCTTTTCTGCAAGATGCATTCTTACTTGATTAATCGAACCCTCTTCCTCATTTTTTGCATTTAACTGATCACTACACAAAAGTTTATCAGTCGTTGTCATCTGCTTAAATGATTCATCAAACGTTGTAATACTTCCCCTTCCCTGTTTTAGCTTTTCCACCCGCTCCACATCTCGCACCACTTTGTGACCAAGTTTGTTCGTCACGCCTATTTCGCCGGTTTTAGTTTTTGCAGAGTTAAGAAGCTCCTCAGTGTGCCGCTCAGCGCGTTCTAATGCCGCATTTTTCTCCATCAGCTCTCTCTTTGAAAGCTGCAGTTCTTGTTGTATCTCAATCAAAGTGTCCTTAAACATATTTAATAGCTCATCTCCTTTACAAAGAGACGCTTTGGCCTCCATTAATTCTGTCTCTCTCTGTGCAATTGTCCCCTTTGCGTTCTCCAAGTCCTCGCTCATCTCGCTCAATTTTTCTTTAAACATTTCTACATCTTTATCGCCATTAGTAATAACTAGACGACGAAGCTGAATGATATCGCGTTCTTTGTCCTTGACTTGTTTTATTGCACTGCTTTTGGCTTCATCAAGTGACCTCCTTAAATGCTTGTTACGTTCTTCCTTGGTCAGCAGCTGTCGATGCAGCTCTTCAATTCTCCCTTCTTTTTCTCTAAGTTTCCTTTCGCAATTGTCCAAGTCCAATTCTTTATCTTGTAGACATCTTTTTAGTTCGAAGAATCTGTTCTCCATCTCCTTTGCTTTTTCGTTCTTTAGATCACATTTGTTGACTTCGCATTCCAACTGGTTGCTCTCTAAACTCAATAACGTTCTATCCGTCAAAGCCTTAATTACTTTCATTTGTCCTACCAACCGCTCATCAACAGTTTGCATTATTTTATTTACATGATCTTCTTTATTTTCTACGACTCGCTTTAATATGAGTGTGATTTGTTCCATGTCCTTCTGGATTCGACTTTTTAATTCATTGCTATCTTCCTTCTCCTCTCGTACTTCCTTCTCAAAAGACTGCTTCAAGATTTTTATATCCCTTTCATTATATGCAAACCATTTCTTTACTTTCTTATAGCACTTCTTCTCTTTTTTGCCTTTCCTCAGAATCCGCATATTTTCTTCTCTAAGTTGTCGAAGCTCTTCGTAAATGGTTCTCATTTGTTTCTCCAAATTTCTCAAGGCAAGCAACCCGGAGGGTTTCAGTTTTCCCCAAGACTGGTCTAAATCCTGCAGGATCAACGAATTTCCCATCGCAAATTCTCGTCTCTCTTTTTCATTTCTGTTTTTATACGGTTCTTTCTGATCAGAAAACTCTGTATCATAACTATCAGATGAGGCTCCCATTTCCCTGGATATAAGCGCTTTTTTCCAGGCATTTTCCTTCCTCTCGCTCATCATAATTGAACCTTTTAACAGTTCTACTTCTTCCCGAAGATAGGAATAGTCGAATGCATCGCTAAGGCTGGTTCTTAATCTGCTCTTTAATGTGTTTAATTCGACCGTCATTCTATCCATCTTCTCTGAAATCATCAACTTGGCTGCCTCACTTTGTTCATACTGTATTGACATTAACCTAAACTTTTCCTCTACTGCTTTTCTTTCGTTCCGTTCTTGATCCAATTTCGTCTCCATTCGCATGGCATCCCGTAGACTCACTAATTCTTTTTTTCTCTGCTCTTCCCCAGCTTTAGTATTGATTGCCTCTTTCTCAGTCTCATCCTTTTCTTTTAACGCAGCTTTCAGTTTGTTCTCAAGGCCATCAATTCGCTCAAGTAACTTCTCACGTTCAATATTAGTAGAATTGACCGCTTTGTTACCATTATCCTCTAGCTGAACTTTCAGCTCTTCAATGCCTTGTTTCAAGGCCCTGAACCCGAAGTTATTTTGCAGGTTGACAGTTTGAAGGTATTCTTCTTTTATCCGCTTCAAGTTTGTTTCACAGTCACTTTGATGCTGTTGAGAATCCTCTAGAACTTTAAGCATGATGTTTTTAACCTCATTACTCATCTGTACAAAAGAAGAAGAGACTTGTTTGATCTCTTGAGCTACACTTAAGCCTGTCACTGTGTCCGGCTCTCCATAGAAATTTTCATACGCCTTCTTTTTGCCACAGAGCTCCAAACTTTTGCTGCCTGTTCTCGCATGTAAATCTTTTAGCTTCTCAAGTTCTTGAGAAAGACTTTCATTTTCGTACTTTTTCTGCTCGAGACTCTCTTTACATTCTGTTATTTCGGCTTCAAGAGCTCTTTTGCTAACCGTTGCTTCTTTCAACTCTGATTCCAGACCATCCAATCTCTCTAAAAGACTCTCATTTTCAAGGTTGACTTGCTCCACGACAGAATCCATGTTACGTCTTTGTTTCAAGTTCTCTTCCAGCTGAATTTCAAGCTCTTTGTTGTAGCTTGTCAACGCCTTGAGCTCCTGGTGAAGTTCCTCTAGGAAACACCCTCCTTGAGAAGTTTCTATCTCCCTGTCGCGACTTTTATTTAACTCTAATTCAATGTTTTCTTTCTCCGACCGTAATGTTTGCATTTCACTCTCCAGACTATCAAGCTGCTCCATGAGCTTCTCATTCTCAATATTAGCTGAATTTATCATGCACACAATGGTGTATTTTTCTTCATCTTTATCGTTCAGCTCAAATCTAAGCTGATCGTTGATTTTCCTTAAAGCCTTGATCTCCGCGTGAAGGTCGTTTACGTACTGATCATCGGAATATGCTACTTTCTTGCCTGCTCGCTCGTTCTCAAAACTGAAACTCTTACTCCGAGTATATGCTGATTTCTTCAACACTTTAGACATGGTAGTTTTCACTTTCTTAACTTCGCAGTCTTTCCTAGTATTTGAAGATTCATCGATTGCTTGGTCTGTTACATTATATAGGCTATCATCTCTAATTAAATGCTCCCCCTTTTCCTGTTTTACAAAGCCATAATGAGAAGCATTTTCGTTATCACGGCTATTTTGTCCAGAAACTGATCCCGGTGTAAGAAATAGTAGCAGAAGAGGGAGCCACCTTACTTTGCAAAGTGGTGAAGGCATAGGGACACGGCGGAATTCCTGTAAAGGCAAGAGTTTTCAGTAGCTACGCCGAACAAGTAGTTTGAAAATCTGTTGTTCCACGTAATCGTCTTGAATTATGTCAGTTTCGATTCCCTCTTTCATAGTTTGGAACTCTTTCTGCTCGGCATTGTGTAGCCTTACCTTGAAAGCAATTGATTCAGTAGCATACGTCTTTTGACATGGAATTGTATCTGAATTAGATTCCAAGCATATGTCTTTCTCCTGAACTTGATCATTCCCTTTTATATCATCAGAATTGTTTTCTGAATGATGCTTATGCTCCGTGACGGGTTTCAGTAGACCTTTGCTATCGAATTTCAATTCATCGGTAATTGTTGTGTTAAAAAAGGTTTCATCTTTACTTGTTACCACGGTACTAGTTATAAAGAAACTCTGGGTTCCTATATCAAACTCTTCGAGATTTATTTCCTCAGAAATACTTTCCTCTGGGATCTCTTCCTGCTCGCTGCGACGCAGGCTATCTTGTTCATCCATGGAAATGTCCTTTTTTTCTTCATCATCTGGGAGATGCACCATGCCTTTAATACTAACAGGGGGGTTTTCAATGCCATGGCTGAGGTCTTCCTCCTTAGAACCACTTATTTCGCTTGGTAAATGCAAATATTCCTTTGCAGCAAGATTACTTTTTCCACAGTGGATTGCAGCTTGTATTTCTTCCTCTGCACTATCAAGCAAATCGTCCAGATCATCAGCAAATGCCTTAGATTGTGGATCGTTTTTGAAGTCCAAATGTCTTTGGACTGTAGGAGCAGAAATACCTTTCATGAGTTCATCCGCCCCAACAGAGCCATTGCCCTCTTCTGCTGTTTCCCTTTCGTTGCTAAAAAGTTCTTTCTCACGGATGAGACTTACATCAGGAGTGGTCTGTGTGTCTTCCACATTCGTAGACAAACTGCCTTGTTTAACCAGACCATTCGATTCAGAACCTATATTGTCTTCATTCTCAGAACCAGGATCGTCCATACAGATTTCCTCAGGTATATCTTCCTCAATACAATCATCACCGTCATCTTTACGTTCTTCAGAACCCTCGTAAAACAGGACCAAACTCATATTTTTCCACGGTGATTCGATTTCCGTCTCCTCCGGAGTGCTTTCAGTGTCTTCAAAAAATGGTTCTTCAAATTCTCTTGAGCTAAATGGCACCAGGAACACTTCAGGCTCAATAGCTATTCGAACCCTTCTCTTTCTAGATGAGGTGTCTTTCTGGGAGCCTACAATGTCGTCGCCAGGAAAAACAATAGAAACTCTGGAAGACTGACCAGAGGGACGGAGCAACCCAAAAATTTCGTCATCCATGCGGTCTAATTCTTCGTCATCAAAATGTTTCCTTTCACTGCCCATTTCAGCGTCGCCAAAATAGTGTTGGCGTTCGTATTCAATGGCTTCACAGTCTTCAACCATTTCGTCCCTTGGTGCTTTACACTCTGTCTCACCTGCAGGATCATCATCAAACAATGCCCAGCTACTCCTTTGTCTCCGTAAAGACCCTCTGGTGATGATGTCTGTAGATTCTTCGCATGATACTGGCTGGTTTTCGAGATCACTGATGTCCGAGATAGTGTCATCTTCGTTGTCACGGGGAATCTTCTCCTGACCCAAGGACTGATTTGAGTCCTTGCATTCGCTAATATTAATGCTGGGTGGTGACAAGTTAAACTCAAATGTTGGAGTTCGTTCCTCTATTGAAGACGACACCTCCTCATCGTCTCCTTCCTCGAAGCTGTCATCTGAGTAATTGTTTTCCACCTCCTCTTCCTTTCTATCCACCGCAAGCTGTTCTTTCAACTGCATTGAGCCTACCTCTTCCTCCCTTGAAAATAAGAATAACATAGGAAATTGAGTTGTCAGTGGTATTTGCACTTGAAGGATGACAAAATGAATAAGTATACTGCTAACTCAAAGAAGGCTGACATCGATCAGCAAAACGCAATATTTCCTTTTTACGTTAGCAGAAAACAAATGCACGATAACTTTCATGAAGCCAAGACCATACAGACCGGCACGATAAAAATTTTTAAACTAAGCAAATCAGGCCTTTTTGTTCGTATGTATGCATGTTTCATGATTGAACGTTGCTATTTATTGACGCAACTAACTCTCAGTGAAACTCTGTGGTCTAAACATCATGTCTTACGTACTTGTTGTTTTCACAAGTGACCTGGTCATCCTCTACTACACCATTAAACTCCGCGACCAAAAGTTTGTCCTGATGAGAGCTGATCTGTGGCATTTCTGTAACAACAGCAGTCTCTGGGCTGAGCGGCAAGAGGCTTGCATCAAAAGATGGGGTATCCTCGGACAACGAGTGCTCATTATCTTTATCACTACATAAATAAATAAACATTCAAGTGAGTACAAAGGAACAGATATATAAATTGGCCGAATTTTGTAGTTATATCGTGTTTGTCACCTTTTTTCAACGCTTTTGAATATTTACATACTTTCAGCGGTGTATAATAAGGGGTTAAAAACAATGGAAAACCATTAACCATCAGAGCCAAAAGGTGGTCGCGGTCGCTTACAGGAGGTGGTGGTTTACTAGAGGTTCCAACTGTAAGGCTTTGACTGGGAAAATTTGGTATTTTGAGTTGGACATCGCTTATGGGAGGTGATCGCACATGGAGGTTCGACTGTATATATGTTTATTCATGGACGGGCGAATTGCTTTAGGCTATGTTCATACAACGGATAGCGTTTCTTGGCGCCACGAGAAGCTATCATTATAGTATGAAGAGCCTGAGGCGCCGGATGGGGCGACACAAGTTGTTCACAACACATCGAACGTCATGCACGCGCGTTTGGCGTAGAGGGCTCGTGCCCTAAATTCCAGTCCACACTCCTGAATATTTCCTTCCGTTTCAGTGAGTTTCAGTCCTCGCTCCTTTACGTTTTCTGCCGCGACGGTGTGCGAATAGGTGTTCACACTGTACCAAGTATGGCGCTAAAACTGTCCGACACGTGACGCTCCACTTTTAACTTGAGATCGGCGCTGCGCAGCGCAGCTTTGCTCCGTCACAGAAATCGCGCTGCCAGAAGCCTTCTTTTCTGTGAACAATAGTTCTATCCGGCATGATGTTCGTGGCGGTGCAAAAGCTATCCGTTACAGTGTGAACATAGCCTCAAAAAAGATCATCTTTAGTATAACTTACTTGGTTTCATCACCCATCTTAAATGGGGAATGATGCGCTTCTTTTTCTTCCTTAGAGACTGTTTTTTCAACTTCCTCATCCATCTCTCTTCCACCTTTCTCATGGAGTTCATCGTCCGTGAATTCCCTTACAAGACCTCTATCGCAGTTGTTGAGGAACGTTGTTTTCAATTTTTTCTAAAGAAAAGACGGTTGAAGGTTTTTGCTAAATATTTTTTGAAAAAAGGTCCGAGCAAATTATGGCAAACTTAATATTCGATTTAAATGGACTTAAATTATGGATTGAATTTAATGATGAAACATTCAAGTGTCTAACCTCCAGCTGATCTAAAAAAGAAGTAACTTCGCATTTCATTAGTCTGTATTGATTTTTACTGATATTTGGATATTTTATTATATTATTTCTGTTTTGTTCAGGATATTTACTTTAGTACCATTTTTATAATATTTACGCATTTGGCAATGTATTTGTTCCGTAATTTACATTGTCAATTAACCAATTAGTTTTATGCCTCTGATTCCTGAATCTGTACATATTATATATGAGCCCATATTATGAAGAGTGCGGTGAACTCATTTGTGAACACATAAACGTATACATAACAAACACAACAGTTCAACAGGCAGCCATGTGTTATTCATCCGTAAAACTACTTTACAAAATCCCCCTTGTGGACTGGGGAGGAGAAATTCCCCAACAGGGGTATAGACGCTATAAGCTTTCGCTACACTACCCCCTCCCTTAAAGAACACTGTCCACAGTGTAAGGTGCTAGGGTGCCCAGTTTCCTTGTAGACGGCGAACTCCTGTACGCCGTCATGCATGTGGGAACTTGCACGTCCTAATCGTCTTGACTCTCTTTCAACTTGCCTCGAAGCATTTCCATCAATGATCAATTGTAACATTCTACCTAGCCGTGTTCTCTCGTGTTCTCAATTTCCAAGAGCTTACACACTTCTGACATAACTTTGGACTCAAAGTTAGTCCCTTGATCGCTGTGTATCTCCCTTGGAAGCCCAAAACTACAGATAAATTCACCCACTAATCATATAACTTCTCAGGTACAGTGGAAGCTTCTTTGTTCGGGATAAAATAGCTTTCCGCCTTTTTTGTGAAGTAGTCCGTTAAGTCAATGACCACATACTGCTACGTTTCCTCTTACCCCAGTTATTTTTGGCTCCACACTCATGACAAGCTCTGACCCACTTCTTCAAGTGTGAAGTTAGTCCTGGCCAGCAGTATCGATCCCTGAGTGCTCCAAGTGTTTTGTTAACATCCCGGTGACACGCAGTAGTATGCTTATGGTGTGCTCTTAGTGCAGTCTCTTGGAAGTTCTCAGGGGAGGATGATCTCGCACTTGGCTCTGGAACCACTTTCCTCTTGCTATATCCAACATAATACTTGAACTCGGAACTCCAGCTGGTCCCATTGGGCCAAAAGTGTCTTCACAGGGCGGTCATATGGAGAAACACCCTCCAACTTCGGCCTCACAGCGCTTGCCTCCTTGAATTGGATTATGACCTTGAGGCTGGTGTCCTCTCTTTGTTGGCCATTAAGGTACTTTTGAGTCCAAGATGACTCCCATCGGATGGTGATTCATTTAGAGTCGGGCTGACTTGGTGGACATTGTTCAGTTTTAGCTGACAAGAACTCTGTTTCACCCTGTTTGTCTTGCTTTTCCGTTTACTCTGTCTCAAACCCTTCAGACTCCACCTGGGGCAGTTGACAAAAAGGTCTTCAACTTGTCAAATGACGACTGCCACTCAGGAGTCCAAGCATGGTCCACATGTCTGAGCTTCACTAAGTTTGTGAGGCGGTCTGGCCACTTAGCAAAAGTAAGAATAAAGCGCCGATAATAGCCGGAAAGTCCTAAGAACCTCTACGTCATACGCATTCTCTGGCACTGGCCAATCGCACACGCGTTCTACCTTAGCCGGGTCTGTCTCGATAACACTTTCAGACACAATGTGGCCCATGTACGTGATGCTCTACTGAAACAGCACACATTTGCTTGGTTTAAGCCTAAGTCCAGCAGATTTAAACCGTGCGAAAACCTCTTAGTGTTCCATTTTCTCTGCGAACGTTTCCCATACACAATGAAGTCATCTAAATAAATCAAGCAGGTCTCAAATTTAAGTCCTGACAAGATCGGTTCCATTAACCGCTAAAAAGTACTTGGTGATGACGTAAGACACAAAGGTCATGACGGTCCACTCATACAATCGTTAGGAAGTCACGAAGGCAGCCTTTCCACTGCTAGCTGGATCCATGGGGACTTGCCAGTGCCCTGAACACAAATCCAGCGTGCTGAATCATTTTGAAAAAGGAAAGCGCGCTCAAAGAAACGTCAATGCGTGGCAGCGGATAAGCATCCTTGATAGCTACCGCATTCACTTGCCTGTAATTAACGCAGAATCTTTGGAAACCATCTTTTTTTGTCACTAGTACTACGGGAGAAGACCGCGGATTGCTAGATTTCTTAACTATGTCTCGCTGCAACAAGTCTTCAACTTGCCTCTCGATTTCTACACGCTTTGCCGGTGCGGTGCGGCGGGGATGCTGTTTGATAGATCTTGCGTTTCCCGTATCAATGTGGTGTTTTGTCAGATTTGTCTTGCCCAGATCTTGCTCGGATAGGGCGAATTTGGACGAGCGAGAGCACGATTTGCGCGCGCAAATTCCCCGGCCCTTTCTCGGCTTTCTCTTTCCCTTTTAACGCCTGCTAAACAGGAGTGTTAAGTTAGAATTGGATCTTCAACAAGAATTTATGATAGTTTAATAGGTTGATCAGCACTTAAATAATAGTATTTTATACCTGACCCTTAAGCGTATTTTTAGATTTTTTTAATAACAAACTCCCTGAATAAAAGTTTAAAAAAATGTTACCTGATTAACATTTTTCTTGCTATCCAAAGAGGCCGTCTTTTTTATTTGGGCTTCTTTTCTTAATGTACTTGCTCTTGTTTCTCGAGGACTCAGTCTAATTTTAGGCTTCTTGTTCCTTTTTCCTTCAAAAGGTGCGATTTTACTTGTCTTAGTAGACGATTCCTTTACGAGCAGTTTTTTGACTTGTCCTTGCTTCAGATTGATCCCTACCAACAAAAATGTTCACGAAAAAGAAATTGAATAAATAAATGAATGAAAAGTAATATATTAAACTTAAGTATCCTAGGTGTAATCTTGCAGAGCAAGGGAGAGAACCAGCAACACGAGTCACCCATATATTGTGTCGCCTCCAGGATACAACTTCTCGGTCCAAATGTACTACTCTCGCTCTTTCCAAAATGAAGGGTCCGGAAAATTGAAATTGAACGAGAATGTCTAGTGTCATGTGTCAAAAATAATGCAACTCCCTCTCGATCTAGATTCACCCGTGATAAAGTCGTGTGTAGTCGTTCACCTTGAAAACGCGGGAAATTTATGTAACAGTAGCGCACGGAAAAAATTTTGTTTCCAATGGTAAATAAAACTATTACCCACCTGAATCGGTCACTGTTGGTTTTGTTTTCTCATGACCATCTTCAGATACGTCACTTACGCTACTCTGGTGGAGACCCTGAATGGGAATACGCGAAGTCCTCCGGCTGCTCCGACTGTCACGTGCTGTTCCTTCATCTGAGCTGCCCTCGCTATCACTGCTAGACTGAGCTACCCTGACGGCAATTTTTGTTTTTTGTTTCTCGGGAAAAAGACTTATGCCACTGTCACTGGTGATATTTTTCGACGCCATGTGGCGCTCGCTGAGCGCGATGAACTCGCCCAAACTTATACACCAACCAACTCTTCTCGATGAAAAATTCCAACAACCTTTCACTCAGCAAATTATACTCTTTGTTGTCTGAATTATAACAATCTGTACCTAAGCCTTGGTAATCTACAAAATGGACACCTCAAAATATTGCCGCAAATAACAGCAATGATTGGGGCAAATGAAGCTACTTCTTTGCAGCAGTTTCGTCATAAAGACTATTTAATTCGAATATTGCGCGCGCAAGATCTACAGAGAAATGCAGACGCGCTGTTTCTTCGAACATTAATGTTACCATGGATACACTGTTATAAAAATAAAGGTAATGAAGGAGAGCAACATAGGAGATTACTTCATCCGATTACTTCATCCGATTACTTCATCCGATTACTTCGAGTCGTTATTACTCCGTCAGTAACGTCTGAATCGACCGGCCGTTAATGCCGTCCAGTGACGTCACTACTCCTTGACCTTTGCTTTTATTCATGCAAAAAGGAAAACACGATTTTCAAGTGGCAAACCGAGAAATATCGTTTGGAAATGTCTGCATGATACAGAACTGCCATATTTTTTTTGATTGTAATTCACGTTTAACGTTCAAACTATCGACTGCATGCAGTACAACTCTAAACCGGTTGTACTAAATTCTATAAGCAAACACGGTCGCAACACGCAATGAAATAAACACACACACGGAACACCTAGTTAAAAACACAATGATTTGCTTCAATTGAAAAGAAGCTATTTGGTCCTTAACGAAGAAAAAAAACAAGGAGACAAGAAAGAAAAGCTAACAGAATCATTACACTTGACGGTAAAAATAGCAAGAAGGTCGAATTATAACATTGATCTCAGAAAACTTCGCGAAAACAAAATCACCGGCCACCGAAACCACAAAGCGGCTCTAAATGGAAAACCTACCGACTCTCCGCAATGATCCTTCATTGAGTTCATTCGCAGTTCAATTCAGCTTTTCAGTTTCGAAGACAAGGACAATTTTGCTGTTTAAGATAAAGATTAAGGTTATCGAAATGTTTGAACTAAACGAAAGAATGCCAGGGATGACATCAGCTGAATATCAAGCGACAATTTCCCAAAAATTTTTCATAATTATAGATAATTATGCGAATGTTTGGACAATCAACCAATCAAATTTTGGGTAGTGAGTGACGTCACTGAACGACATCGAGAACGGCCGGTCGATTCAGACGTTGTAGAGAGGAGAAAACGACTCGAAGCAATCAGGCTACATAGGAGACAAACTTATGAAATCTAAACACTTAGTTTTCGCGGTGACGTAAACTGAGACTTTTTGGATGAAGAAACTCATTTGTTTCCAATTTCCTCAGGATCAGGGAGAAAAATCAAAAATCCTGGAATGAGGATTAACGGATTACCGATTGCGGATTAGGATATCGCTGGGAACTCGAGCCCATATAATGAAATTCAGCCAACTCAAGACATTTCCACTTTGAACGCTTTTTTAATATCGTTTTTTGTATGCAGCTTAAAACTTGTGGATTATTATACTTAATTTAATGAATCCATTCGCGACTGTTCGACGGCCATCAGCGGGCGGGAACAAAGAGAAGTTCTTAGTCATGAACTGTTATTAAGCAAGAATGAATTTCCATCCACCGGGACTGGTCCGCAATCCTTATCCCACAGTCCAAAGTCCACAGTCCACAGTCCGTTTCTACTTACAGTAGACATTGTGGTATTGACGCCTCGGGGAATCTGCAGGAGACATAGCAATCGCAGCATCACATCAGCCTGCCTAGGGACTTTGAATTCGCAATGGTTTTGCAGTGGTGGAAACCTTTTCGCAGTTTGGCTTGCTCCCTTACGGCGTCGCGATTTCTTTTCCATATTCAAACTGGACGGACTTCTTCAAGCCAACGCCTGTATTTTGGAACGAAGGGTAAGCAAAATGTTTACAAGCTAAGCAGAAATCTAGTCTCAATCTCAAGCTTTAGCTTTTAAAGTCTTTTTAGGAGTTTAATAATTGCACTGTTGGGTTGAACTTTTGTGGAAAATCACCAGATTTCATCCTTCGTGGAATCTTGTTTTCCAAATTACTTGCCGTATAACAGTCACTTTTTCCTGTGTTTTACTTTCATTTCAATGGTTATGTAAGGTGTACATGTGATTGCGTAATACAGCTACGTATTAAACGATAAAAAATGTGGGAGCATTTACATTTATTCGTTCAGAAAGTCATCCTTTATACGCCTTCACTCATTCGTTACAAATTCTAGTGTTTCTTAACTTAAAATTACTAGGCATAGATCCTGTCAGCTGTGGTAGGGACCGGTGGAGCGTTGCGTGACATCCCAAGGATAACATCGACGCATTTTCGACTGGTTGAAAATAATCGTACAGTTAGGTGATCCGTTCACATGGTTCCACCTTAAGTGTACGAAAATTTAGATGCCTAGCCGTTCAAACATTTGAAAGCCAAAATCGAGGTCAAATTTTTAGCCTGTATGATCTATATTATGTAAACACCGTGTAACCGTCTAAATCTAAATCTTTGTACAGCATGGCTGCATGGATGCGTGGTTAAAAAATTAAAACACATGTGGGAGGTGCCTTTTGGATTTGCTGTTATTTAAAAGTAGCCCGACTGTACATGGCCAGATAGTAACATGATGGTACAACCATTGAAAAAAGTTTCAAATTCCGCCTGGTTTATCAGTTCTCTGTCAGGGTATTAGATACAGAAGGGTACTGAATATTGAATTTTATTGGGCATCAAAATCATGAGAATCATCTATTGACACTAGAACAGTGATTAGAACTCATGCAAAAAAAAGTGAATTCTGCTGGCTTGACAGCCCTGCTTTGCCCCATGTAAGACAATCCAGACGGATGCTGGAATCCGGGAAATATTTGCTTGTTGAATACAGAATCCTGGGCTTGGAATCCGGAATACAACTCAAGGAATCCAGAATCCCACTAACCATTAATTGGAACTCGGAATCCTTGAAGTTCCATTACACAACAAGGATTAATCCACAGTGTGGAATCCAGAATCCAAGGCTGTCTTGGGTTCCCTTACATTGGGATGACCTACAAATATGGTAAAGATCTTTCTGCAAATATTTTATGCAAAAATGTAAAGTTAAAAGCAAGCTGAAATAACCCATGGCTTTGAGTTCTTATCACACAATCCACCATAAGATCAATCAATCAATCATTTTATCAATGTAATGGCATGGGAAAGGGTTGTCCTGAGTATCTGAGCCCCTGCAGAGGCCCATGTATAAAATGTATGACAGAAATTAGTAAAAAAGGTTACATATGTGTAGAGCAATTATTAATATATCAGGGAATGTAAAAAAAAGAAGTTCTACAAGTAATACAGTACCCTCCTGCACACTCTTGTAAATATTACGGGTTGATGATTTTTTGGTTGACTGTTGACCAAAACTTGGTCAACAGACAGTGTAGCAGCTTACTCTATTTAACTGAAGTCAATTTTGAATACTCAACCAACAGACTGTCAATTACACTCAGCTGATATCGGTCAAGATCTTTTGAATATTTAATTTTGTAGCAAAAGATTGGAAGGTGAAGTAATCCGATGAGAGACTTCTTTAAGTGGTGACTGTGTTGTGTTTTTGCACAACATTGCCACTGATTTATTACCATGGGGCTTGGGTACAAGACCATGTATTATGGAATTATCAACATAAGATGGCAGTATTAAGCATGCAATTTATGGTTATAGACTCACATAGTCAAAAAGAGCAGTGTGTGCTTATATACCTGCCAACTATTTCTGAGTCAAATGCGTGAGCTTTTCGTCTTGTCATGACTGGAATTTCCAAACATTCCCGACGATTTTCTGAAGACTTCCGAACGTTGCTGAAAACTGATGTTCCAAAGACTTTTTCAATGACGACATTTTAGTGTGTTGTGATAAAGTTAAGTGCCTTTTTGGATTATTTTCGGGAATATTTAATTTAATTTTCCTTATTATACATGTGTTAAAGAACAATTCATCTGGATTTGTAAGTCAGGCAATTGAGAAATTGTCTTTGATGCATGAGATTGATGTCTGTAGTCCGCAGGCGTGATGCTCAGGCGTCATGATCAATTTTTAGGATTAAGATTTTGTAATTTCTATGGCATGTTTTCAATTCTGGATTTTAACTTGTTCAATACATTGCTGAATTAACATGATGGTCACTTTTGTTGACGTTTGAAACGACAGTGGTTAAAAGGGGATTAGTCAGGATAGGCTAAAAGAATGTAATCAACGCAACCGCTAAGTGTTTTCTTTTGATTAAGTTGGCCATCTATCGATATCCAACTTTGAAACGAACCCTACAGCTTTTTTTGGTGTTTGACTTTGTGAGAAATCAGTTGCCAACTCATGAGAGCGTGAGATAGGCCCGGGGAGGGCACTTGGGTATTTTTTGGGTGGATATGTGCCGCCCGGGAATCCAAATTGGCACCCCGTTCTAAAAAAAATTCCCCTAAAATTGATACCCCGTTCTAGAATTGGGCCAATTTTTTGTACCCCGTCCTAGAATTCGCCCTAAAAGTTGATACCCCGTTCAAGAAATGGGCCAATTTTTTATACTCCGTTCTAGAAAGTTTGTAAATTGAAATAGCCCTGTTTTTTTTTTAAGATATTTCTTTATTTGTTCGACTTATACATCAAATAAATGCTTCTTCATAATAGAAAGCCTTGATCCACAATTTTTTATACCCCGTTCTAGAAAACGCCTCTGAAATGGATACCCCGTTCTAAATCAGGAGCTTCAAAATCACGACCCCGTTGGGCAGCACATACCCAGATAGGTAATGTATGGGAGTGCCCCCCCCCCCCCCCCCCCCCCCCCGGCCGGCGCGGGGCAGATACCAAAACACCCCACCGAACAGTCACACAGACGAAGGGGACGCTCGTTGTCTTCTTGTCTCTCTAGTCTAAATCTAAATCTTTGTACAGCATGGCTGCATGGATGCGTGGTTAAAAAATTAAAACACATGTGGGAGGTGCCTTTTGGATTTGCTGTTATTTAAAAGTAGCCTGACTGTACATGGCCAGATAGTAACATGATAGTACAACCATTGAAAAAAGTTTCAAATTCTGCCTGGTTTATCAGTTCTCTGTCAGGTTATTAGATACAGAAGGGTACTGGATATTGAATTTTATCGGGCATCAAAATCATGAGCATCATCTATTGACACTAGAACAGTGATTAGAACTCATGCAAAAAAAAAGTGAATTCTGCTGGCTTGACAGCCCTACTTTGCCCCATGTAAGATAATCCGGATGCTGGAATCGGGGAAATATTTGCTTGTTGAATACAGAATCCTGGGCTTGGAATCCGGAATATAACTCAAGGGATCCAGAATCCCACTAACCATTAATTGGAATTCAGAATCCTTGAAGTTCCATTACGCGACAAGGATTAATCCACAATGTGGAATCCAGAATCCAAGGCTGTCTAACTCTATTTAACTGAAGTCAGTTTTGAATACTCAACCAACAGACTGTCAATTACACTCAGCTGATATGGGTCAAGATCTTTTGAATATTTAATTTTGTAGCAAAAGTTTGGAAGGTGAAGTAATCCAATGAGAGACTTCTTTAAGTGGTGACTGTGTTGTGTTTTTGCACAACATTGCCGCTGATTTCTTACCATGGGGCCTGGGTACAAGACCATGTATTATGGAATTATCAACATAAGATGGCAGTAATTAGCATGCAATTTATGGTTATAGACTCACATAGTCAAAAAGAGCAGTGTGAACTTATGTACCTGCCAACTATTTCTGAGTCAAATGCTTCGTCTTGTCATGACCGGAATTTCCGAACATTCCTGACGATTTTCTGAAGACATCCGAACGTTGCTGAAAATGTCCGAAGATGACGACATTTTAGTGTGTTGTGATAAAGTTAAGTGCCTTTTTGGATTATTCTCGGGAATATTGAATTTAATTTTCCTTATTATACATAATCAGGCATGAGAAATTGCCTTTGAGGCATGAGATTGATGTCTGTAGTCCGCAGGCGTGACACTCAGGCGTCATGATCAATTTTTACGATTAAGATTTTGTAATTTCTATGGCATGTTTTCAATTCTGGATTTTAGCTTGTTCAATACATTGCTGTTGACATGATGGTCACCTTTGTTGACGTTTGAAAGGACAGTAGTTAAAAGAGGATTAGTCAGGATAGGCTAAAAGAATGTAATCAACGCAACTGCTAAGTGTTTTCTTTTGATTAAGTTGGCCATCTATCGATATCTAACTTTGAAACGAACCCTACAGCTTTTTTTGGTGTTTGACTTTGTGAGAAATCAGTAGCCAACTCATGAGAGCGTGAGATAGGCCCAGGGAGGGCACTTGGGTATTTTTTGGGTGGATATGTGCCGCCCGGGAATCCAAATTGGCACCCCGTTCTAAAAAAAATTGCCCTAAAATTGATACCCCGTTCTAGAATTGGGCCAATTTTTTATACCTCGTCCTAGAATTTGCCCTAAAACTGATAAGCGCTTTGGTCAATTAGTGGAGTTAGCGCTATATAAATTATGTTATGTTATGTTATGTTATACCCCATTCTAGAAATGGGCCAATTTTTTATACTCCATTCTAGAAAGTTTGTAAATTCAAATAGCCCTGTTTTTTTTAAAGATATTTCTTTATTTGTTCGACCTATACATCAAATAAATGCTTTTTCATAATCAGCAACAATTTTAAGCAGAAAATAAAGCCTTTATCCACAATTTTTTATACCCCGTTCTAGAAAACGCCTCTGAAATGGATACCTTGTTCTAAATCAGGAGCTTCAAAATCACGACCCCGTTGGGCGGCACATACCCAAATCTCCCGGATAAAATGACGTTTGGGCATTTCTGTGCTTTAGTTTGAAATTTAGTCCATTTTTTCACAAAAGTCGAACTTTTTTTATTTATTGTACAGTTTCTGGGACATTTTTGCACATGTTTAGTCAATGACAAAGATTAGTTCGTCCTTACAATGATGAAAGCGCATTTTGATCCCATGTACGCCATGTAAGACGTCATATAATGTCCTAAGGCAATTTGTTGGTGCGGGGGGGGGAGAGTGGGGGGGTTGGTGCTGTTGATATTCGGGGGTGGGGGGGGGGGTGTAGTGCAAAATAGAGAGTCTCCAGATTTTAGATCTCCGGAGGTTGGCAGGTATGCTACAGGTTTGGCTCAGCAGAAGTTAAGGTCAGGTTGGACATGGGACAAAAAAGGGAAGGGCTCTTAAATAACTATACTTATCTGATAATTAACTATTGTTTGCTATTGCATTTAGCAGGTTTAAGAAAATGGAATCCTTTAACATGGTATAATGAAATGCTGGAAAAGCATCCCATCAGGACTAAGTGTATTACCTCAGGAGGTACTGAAACTGGTTTGATTTTGTTGCGTTAGTGGCAGAAACATAATTACCCAATGTATTTGCGTTGTTAAATGCATTATTTGAATACATGCAAGTGGTTTTGTTCTGTTTAACTTTTATCTGTTTTCCTTCTCTGCAGTATTATTTGCGATGGGAGATTTCATAGCACAGAAAACTGCTGCTGGTAAAAATAGTAGCTTGGATGATAAGGTATTGTTATACTTGATAACATTCTCTTTGCTAACTATTTAATAATGTTGGGAAAATCTGTTGTTTTTTTTCTTTCATAAAAAAATAATGCGAGGTGTTTATGTAGAGGTGTGGGATGCATTGTGCAAATATTAATCAGCGTGCAAAGAAAGTGTCTGATAGCCTGCACTGGGGCCAGTGGATTTTTGCTATCGGGCTAGTCAATCCTTTTCTTAACTTGCCTGGAGGGCAAGTGATGCTTTTTGAGCAATTCGAATAAAGAAAGAACTGTGAAATCAATTCTGTTTGTCAAAAAGCTTTTGGGGCTAGTTGATATGATGGCTGGGTTAGTAAATGCTAGCTTCAGCTTGCCTGAATTGCAAGCTGTAAAAATGATTTTCTTTGCGCCCTGTTAATGCTGTAGTTATGTACATGACAGTTCTCCCATCTTCTAATCATTTACTGACCACTATATGGGATACATAATTTACTTGTATGATCCCCTTTTCATGAGAGTGCCACACACAGGGATAAGTGTAGTGCAACCTACCATCATCTGCACTGTACTGGTCGGTTTTTGTATAAAGACGAATACAGTTATCATTGATAAACTACCGTAAACAAACAAAATGAGAGAAAGATTAACTCAATAGTAGGTACAGTTTCATTAGTGAATCTAAAATATTTTAAAATACATTCCTCTCCCAGATGAGCTATACATAAAANCATCATCTGCACTGTACTGGTCGGTTTTTGTATAAAGACGAATACAGTTATCATTGATAAACTACCGTAAACAAACAAAATGAGAGAAAGATTAACTCAATAGTAGGTACAGTTTCATTAGTGAATCTAAAATATTTTAAAATACGTTCCTCTCCCAGATGAGCTATACATAAAAAAGTGAAATAAACGCCGCGGCGCTTTTTTGAGTCAGTATAATGTTGGGTAAAGTATAGAACTAGTTATTGTGTTTTTTTTTTTGTTTCGGGTGAGGGCTTGGAAACAGGAATTTGAGATTGTGGGATTCGTTTTGACATCCATAGCATGCTGTCAAACGTTGCCCCTTTGATCTTCAAATACGTTTTTTGAAATACAGTCCCCCTGTAAAATCTATGGAAGTCTTTTTTTTTTAAAATTCCTGATAATATTACGTTACTAAGCTTGATACCATGAAAAATCAAATAGTAAATTAAAGCCACTCTTGTTTCTCAATTCGAGGTGAGGTCTAGGCTTAATTTAAAGGTAGTCACTTGGATTATTAGTATTTGAGGGGAGGACTGGGTGATATGATTTTAATTCTGGGGGGCTGGGGTGGGGTATATTTTACTGATGTTACCAGACCTTTTCAAAATTAACGTCATAACTTGCTAATCACGAGTAACGCTGAATATATATTATATTGCCCAACAGCGACTGTTAAGAGCGATCATATATGGATCGGGTACTGCTCCACTCGCTCATGTACATTTTAACTTTCTGGAATGGCTAGTTGTAAAGAAGGTAGGAAATAGACTTAAGCGGTGGAAGTACCTAGTTTTCTGGAAAAATACACTTGTGAGCTTAAAACAGCCAAAGCTCTAATTAAAATGATAAATCGGGTGGGAAAAAAGCGAGCATTTTCGATTAACCCATACATTCACACTAACAGCCCGCGCGGTCCCTGGTATCACTTGTGACGTCTTTAGTTTGAACAGACGTAGCAGTGCGCCAAAATCTATGTCCAATCGTCCGGGACAGGTAGAAATTTAGCTCGGAAAGGTAAACCTTTGAAATGGCTTCTCCGTTGGACAAGCACATTTTTAATTAGAAAAAATACGTAGAATTGCGGCAGAATTACTTCTGTTAAATGAGAACTTTACATCTTAAAAGATGTAAATTTCTCACTTCCAGGCTCAAAATTCGAGTTGATATTAAATGGCGGAATCACAAGAAGTCGAAAAATAACAGTCTTCATTGTTAGTTTTTCCTTCAAAGCAACCGAGAAGAGAAAAAGTCTTAGATGCTAGCAAAGATTTAAGTGAATCAAGAGAAGATCATTAAATGCCCGAGTTTCGAGCAAAACCTTTTGGACAAGAACTTTAGGGTTTCGGACAACCAAAATTGATGTAGTGCTTGTCCGAAGGACAAGTGGATAAGAAAATTAAATTAAAGGATGCATTGTCTTCGAATATCGCTTCCCCGTTCTCCCTGTTTCATAAAGACAAACGAACCGGTTGTAAAAAGGTTCAAAGGTAATTTCAGCAAATTCCAGGTTTTCTGCCTAACACTTCACTAAAGACAATTCTTTTTTCGAACCCCCTTTTCTTTGGGGGGTGGGGGGCAACTGCGCTCTTGCCCTTCCTCTGGCTACAGCTATGCATGTATTCCGGATTTCCCTCTCACCAAGCGAAACGAAAGTAGAGCTTGATCGAAGGTTACGTAGTGCTCAACCAAAAGCGTTTGTGGCAATTTTGGTCTTGTCCTCGTGGCGACGTCGGTTTATTTTCTTGGATAGTTTTTATAGAGCGCGCGAGGGAAATATTCTTTTTTTGCCAGATAGTGATAAAAAACGGCTCGACTCATAGCTTCGGCAAAATGTTCAGGAGCTAGCTGGTTATTAACATGCTAGATACAAAGATCTTGAAACTCAACAGTTTTATGGCTCGTCAAAAGACTATAAGCTAAACGTGTATCGAAACGACCGGTATAACCATTTGTGAAATAATTGTTCCCAAGACAACGAAATACACTCTTTTTATAAGAAACTTTTTTGTAACGGAACGTTCAGTCTGAAATTTTCCAAAAACTTTTAAGTTAATAGAAGGTGCTAAGAACATACACGAGGCTCAGAAAAAAACAATTTATTTTTCACTGCCTTTACTTTTCTTAATTTAAGAAAAACTGAATTTAAGTAAAACGTTCTACACCAAATCAGAGTGCATGCAAAATTTTTGTATGTCAGATTTCCGTCACTGAAATTCAAGAACATGCGTAAGAACATTTCCAGGCTGAAACTGCCCAGAAAATAAGAACGGTTCAGGCTTAACTCGAAAAATGGACGTTCTTATAAAAAAAGAGTGTATACCAGGAAGAAAAACGGGTGTCAGTTAAAGGCGATGTCGGGGCCGGGATCTGGGTCTATCTGTTTTAAGGTTAGGGTTAAAGTTAGGGTTGACACTAACCCTAACCCTAAATAACCCTAACCTAACCCTAATCCTAACTGTAAAACAGTATGCTTAAAAAAAAAAGGTAGACCCCTACCCTGGCCCTGGCCCCGCGTTTTACTGACAGTAGACACCCAAGAAAAACACTGTTTACTGCGATTTTTTCCCACGAATGTTAAGTTAGGGTATCACGACATTAGTTACTCGGTATTTAAAGGTTTTAATTACTTTTTTTTAAATTAATTCTATCTACGAAATGACTGTCCGCCACTGCTAAATTCCTAAGGACGATCAGAGATAGCAGGTGTAAAATGGGTGGTAGTAATTGATATTTATTGCCATCTGAAAAGTAAACGGCAGGTGAACAAAACCAAAAGTAAAAGTTGTAAAGCTTGAGTGTCGTGTTTTTATGTATGCTAACTAAGCTTTTTTTTCCACTTCCTCGCTTAAAGTTTTGTAATCCAAATCACCCTTATCGTTTGCTTGGAATTCCAGTGATAAACCAGTGAAGGACTTTTTGATGGTGTCTTTCGAAGATGCGTATATCATTTTGTCTCCAATCTTTGCATTTTCGTCACACCTAAAGCGAAAAAGGGAAATGAGATGAAACGGGCTGGCTCGGCTCATGCCTTGTTTCCTTATAAAATTGTTGCTGTGTCGTATGAGAAGGTTGGCTGCCCCGTTTGCCGAGATCGTGGTTGCTTGAAGGAAGATCTCACCAAGCGGGCCAGCCGGCCTTCTCATATAAACACAACGACAATTTTCTAAGAAAACAAGGCATGAGCCGACCCAGCATGGTAAAGCAGGCCATGCTGCATAAACAGTTCCTTAGTAGAAATGAGAACCAGGTAGAAGGGTCTACTCCATCATACAAACTAAAGCTAAAGAGATGTACCCAACACCTTTTTGATTTAATAATCTCTTCATGAGTGCATACATCAATTCAGGGAGCAAGGGTGTCGCCGTGGTGAGAGCAGTGGTTAGAGCACTCGCCTCCCACAAATGTGGCCCAGGCTTCAAGTCCCGGCGTCGACGCCATATGTAGGTTGGCTTTGTTTTTGGTTCTCTCCTTTGCACGGAGAGTTTTTTTTTCGGGTTTTCCGGTATTTTTTCCCCCTCCAACAATCTATTTTTCACTGGGTCGTAAGCGGTGGATTCATAAACGGAGTCAGAAGAAAATAGAAATATTCCGATTCTTCTGACTTCAGTTCTGCAGCCTGCGTGGTAGGTGTTCGAAAGGGAATCGGAAGGGAATTTTACGGAGAGGGGGGCGGCAGGGGAAGGCTTGCTAGGGCGTCATTATTGTCGTCGCCATCCCGCCTACTTATTGTGTATGCAAAAATAACGCAACTGTGAACGTCTAACCATCTGTTACTGCAACCATCTATTACTGCTGGTTAAGGTATTCATTATTTTTACATTTCTCTGGTGGATGTGAAAAATAAAAAAGACCAGAAAATCCCGTTCCCCTTTCCTTTCAAACGCCTACCACGCAGACTACCAATAGCCCATGTTCGATATATTAAAATTCTAACATGACTCCGAGACTTTCTGGTCATTTTTCTATATTTGGTTTTATTTTCTTTGTGCTCAAGTCTCCTCTGGGAATTGCGAGACAACGGATTCGTGAAAATTTGGAATTTTGACCCTAAAGCCTCGGAGTCATCTTAGAATTTTAAAATATCGAACGTGGGCTATTCTGTAGACTTGCCACAAGTCGACTGCGTGAGCGGCGAAGGCGCTAGGGACGCTGGTGAAGCGAGCAAAAGCGAGCGACGAATTACTCTGTTGCACTTATAACTCCGCTTACAACTCAAAGCTTTGATTTTCACTAGGTTAATAAAATAAAATGCTCTTACAACTCTGACTCTGTCGAACAAGTAAAATCCAGCCTAAAATGTCTTGAGACTAAACGAAAATTTTATGCCCGGTCACCAATTAAAAATGCAGAGACAACCTCACTCACCAAAAGATGAATGCCAACTTATTAACTTTCCTGCCATCCTTGTTCATAAATCCAAAATCATACAAAATATATCGTGGCTCATTGGTGAGTTGCTCCTTCATTTTATTAAACTGTGCTTCATCTTCTTCTTTTGCCTCTGTTTTGCATGGATCACCACACACGTCAACAATAATTTTCTTCTTTCCTTCAATTTTAAAAAATGCAAACTTGTGTGTGCTTCTCAACTTCATATCATTAAACAAAACGTTGATTTCAGCATCGACTTCTACCCCTGACATAGACTGTATCAAGAGAACATGAGAATAACATTAAGTAATCTAAAAAACCTTATTAAGGGCAAAGCCTCTCAACTCTGAGTATCTTCTTGTAGCGCCCAGATTCAATAGGTAGCAAGTGGAAGAAATTCGCATTTTGGTTACTGCCACTCTGACTTGTCTTAGCGTTCTTTATTAAATCAAGATAATATTCAAATCTGACTTCGTTTTTCACTTCACTGTACAGGCTTAATTTATTTTCAGTTGAGGAGTCGAATTTATCCTTGTTCAGTCTTTTCGACCAATATTCCTGGTATTCTTTAAACAAATTTTTTTTTTAACTTTCTAACCAGGTGAGGAAATGTCCTGTAGTCAAGATGTGATAGATTTGGTACTTACCTACATTATTTAAATGTATTTTCATTGCTAGGGCGCTATTTAAAATTGGGTCATTTTGTAAGGTAAGTAACCATAAGAAGTACTTAAAAATTCTGGTGTAAATAATAAGATGAAGAAGAAAACGTCCGAGTTCTCCCTTCACAGCATGGTTACTTGCTTTAGAGTGAACCCCTAAGGCCATTTTGCGTACCTTGTTATGCATATTCTCGAGATTAGGCGACCCCAGTATTAAGAGTTAAGAACGGCCATCTACAATTTCATCAAAGCACTCTAACTACTTACCATTGTGATGGTTGATCGTGACTTTTAGTTTCAAAACACCTTGAAAACAAAATAGTGTAGGGGCAACGCTCT